GGGTGATGGCATTTGCTTTAAATATCAAACGCCTTACACCCAATTACTCAATTAAAATAACTCCAGGTCAGATCAGGGAGAAATATAAGCGAATGTTGGAGACGTATCGTGACGCGAGAGATCGTTACACCAACAAAACCCTCCTCGCCGGTCCGGGCGTGAGGGTTTTCAAGCCCCTACACTACATAATCAGCATGGAACTTGTCCACACTAAGGAGGTGGACATAGATAAGTTGGTGAGCGTGTTGGAAAGCATTCCCTCGAAGATGATGGGCTCTAAGGATTCAGTGATAGTAATAAAGAATAGCACCAAGTTACTTTTGAGGAGCAATGAAGGTAAGTCTTTATTAGGGCATACCAGCGAAATCTGTTCAGGTTCCACAAGGTAGGCACTAGAATCCTGCCTATTTCTGACCTAATGCAGTAAAACCGGAGTCGGATGTGTCAAGATGACCGGTAATATTGACGTGGTTGATCTCTATAGGCTTTGCTGAACAGAACGTCAGGTAGATCATAAGCCCGTCCGAGCATCGTATCGATAAAAAAAAAGCGTGCAACTTGGTGCACGTGAATGAAGTGAAACTTCTTTTTTGATGTGTAGTATTGTAGTTTTCTTCATTTTTCATCCTTAAATCACATCGATATATTACCACTCAAAACACATTGCTCTTGTAATAGGGAATGCTGTGTATAAGAGATGCGACATCTTCAACATTTATCTATACATATAAATAAAATTTGAGTGTCTGTTTGTAGTATTGAAATAACCGTTTTTTACTACATGCATATGAATATATATACGGTACATACACCAAAATAATTTTTTTTACAATTTTTGTCTGTCTGTCTGTTTGTTCTGGCTAATCTCTGAAACGGCTGGACCGATTTTGACGGGACTTTCACCGATAGGTAGCTGATGATATAAGGAGTAACTTAGGCTACTTTTTTTAGACTAGCTTCGCCCCGCGGCGTCAACCACGGTACGACAATAACCGCGGGTAACATCGCGGGACTCAGCTAGTCTTTAATAAAATTTAATATTTCCGAAGCGAAGCAAGGGCGGGTCGCTAGTATTATATATATTTTAAATTATAGATAGGAAAATAAAATATATATATTTTTTAATACTTCATTAAAATATTGGAAGCTACTAGTTGCTAACGCTCGCGCTGGCGTGTTAACAGGTATAATAGCCGGCAAACTTCTTGAGCATTTGTTGACGTAGTGGGGGTAAGTTTGCGCATGGTACACTCACGTGCAAAAACATTATTTACTCTGCGTCATAATGCAATTAAATTATTAAAATCAACATATGTATTTATTTATATATTTATTAGAACATCAACAAAAAATATAGGTTAATAATTGTAATAATTTAATCTTGGGGTAAAATAGATATTCCTTCTATTAAGTCAAAACTAGAGCTGTTGCCAGGTCTTCGTTCAGTTGAAGCGAAGCTGGTATTTGTAATTTTTTTTTCGTTATCATAATCTTGACCATTATCATCATCACTGTTTTCATCACCCGAGTCGCCATCATCGTGATAAGTCGACATAGGGCTCATCGGTGTAGTTTACGACTCGGTCGGTTCGATCTTCTTTTTTGTCTATAATTAATTATTTTTTGAAGATATTCGATTCGTAGTAATCGAATGTTACTTTTTTCAATTACCAGCTTCCGATTATTTTTTTTTTTTTTTTTCCATCTGAAGCCTAGCTCTTTCATAATTCGTCGTAAACTTCATTCCGAGCCATTAAAATGTATATCTTCTTTAAAATTTTCGAAGCCTTTCTACGGTACGGAGTTTCGCTGCTTGTTATGTAGTTATTATGATTACATCTTTTTATTACAGATTGAACGAAACTATCCATTCCGGTAACTTTCTTCTTCCCTGATCTTTTCTTACCCGGAGTCCCAAGCACGATGAGCAAGCCAGAGCCTTTAGCTTCGTTAATAATGCACCTAACAGTACTCACTGATGTTTTTGTTGCTTCCGAAGTCTGTTTTACTTTTTCCATAATATCATTCTTCCCCTGTTTTATAATGAAGCAATATACGTCGTACACAATTTTTCTACCCTTTCTTTTGAATACTACACCAGTTTGTCGCGGCATAGTGTATTTTTTATAAAAAATCAACAAACACTCAACAAATAGCAATGGCAACAAAGTCAACAAGCAATTATAACAAAATATAACTTAACGATTAATAACGATAGACTTTTCACTGTACGCAAGCGTACTTTTGGGAGCAAGCGGAACGAAGGCGCGGTGCGGGACGCAAGGTTCGACTGATCTACCAATAACGCGCTCGATACGATTTCCCCTGCCGTCGCGCCTCACCCTCACCACCAAAGTGATCTAACATTCGGTTCTGCGCAGTCAAGGTCATTTGCTCACGATGTTTGCCGGTTACTATATACTACGCGCCTGCATTCACTCTCGCTCTGTCTCATTCTATTCCCCCTCCCCAGGAGCGTTGAACGTTTAACGCAACCTTGTTGGAAGTCGCATTAGAAGTTTCACTTCAAAAATAGATAAAATCGGTTGTCTGTAAAGTCGGTTTACTGACGATAGTTGAACGTGACAACGTCATAAGAAAATACTGATGGAATGGTTTTTTACTCATCGTGAAATAGTTCTGTTAACTTATCTATATATTAATACGTGAAGCAAAAACTTTGTATCCCTTTTTACGAAAATTGCGCGTACGGAGGAGTATGAAATTTTCCACACTTATAAAGAACATAGAGACGAAGTGCATAACGCTAATATTTTTTTTAAATAATGCATAACAGATACATTAAATCAATAAAGAAAACATTACACACACTACATACCATGTATTTGACGCACACACGCATGCATACTATTTATTGTCAAACTTTTGTTCTTGACGTCTGTTGTCAAATTGAGAATAGATTAAATATTGTTTGTCTTTTCTAATATTTTTTTATAGTGTAGTCTTGGCGAAATTTGTGATTATAGAAGTATAAAATACAATCATAATAGTGTACAAACTTACAATACCAATCAATTATAGTCCAATTTCGACTACTGCAGGAACTCTAGTTGTTATAGTTTTGTCAATTATAGCATAGCCTACAATCGCTGCACTAGCGGACCGATGCTGTTTATTTTAATGATGAAAGCCCGAATATTCGACAATATATCACTGAACATATCTATACTAATATTATAAAGAGGAAAGATTTGTTTGTTTGTTTGTTTCGAATAGGCTCCGAAACTACTGGACCGATTTGAAAAATTCTTTTTCCATTAGAAGCCGACATTGTCCCTGATGAACATAGGCTACTTTTTTTAAAAAAAAAATTATTTTATTTTTTTGGTTTCATGTGTGTTTTAATGTTTCCGAAGCGAAGCGAGGGCGGGTCGCTAGTATTTAATATCGAAAGAATCATACCTTTATCGCCGCAATTATCGTTGCTATAAACAATTGACGAGCGTTACCATGCGGCGTTACCTCAGAGCGAAGTAACGCCTCAATGAGTCATGTTTTTTCGTGCGTGCAGCCGGCTCCGTCGAATTTATAAGACGCTGTCACGTCAAAAAAATCTCTTTTTTTTGGAGCCGCTCAGAAAACCTTAATGTAAATTCTTTTTCAATTGTTTCCTTAGACTCTGCGTACCTGGCGCTTCGGAGACAGGAGGAGGAGCTGAAGAGTAAATACCGTGAGCAGTACACCATGAAGAAGTTGGGTCTGATGGGAAACGAAAGCTTAACTTTCGCATTGTAAATTAGAACGTAGCTAATATTAAGATGCATTTGTTTCTATTCTTCTTCTTCTTAGTCGCATACTTCATTGCTGAAGGTCGTGTCCCTGAAACTTGACCGTTGCCTGTCTCGTGAGCTGTTTCCATCTCGTCCGGTCCTCAGCTGCTCGAATGGCGGTTACGACTGGCAACCCAGTTAGAGCGGTTACTTGATCACACCAACGGCTAGGTAATCGGCCGCGGGGTCTCTTTCTACTTTGCCCGTCACAATCACTTTGTCCAAGTTATCTGACTGTCGGCGGGCAATATGACCGAAGTAGCTGAGGATCCTCTGGTAAATACAGAATGTATTTGAGATATATATTAATACGTGAAGCAAAAACTTTGTATCCCTTTTTACGAAAATTGCGCGAACGGAGGAGTATGAAATTTTCCACACTTATAGAGAATATAGAGAAGAAGTGCACAATTCTAAAATATTTTTTTTAAATAATGCATAAAAGATACATTAAATCAATAAAGAAAACATTACACACACTACATACCATGTATTTGACGCACACACGCATGCATACTATTTATTGTCAAACTTTTGTTCCTGACGTCTGTTGTCAAATCGAGAATAGATTATATTATTATATTGTTTGTCTTTATTAATATTTTTTTATAGTGTAGTCTTGGCGAAATTTGTGATTATAGAAGTATAAAATACAATAATATTAGTGTACAAACTTACAATTCCAATTAATTATAGTCGAATTTCGACTACTGCGGGACCTCTAGTTTGAGATAGATACGTAATGCGTACTTAACAAATGTTCACGATTGACTTCCACGGTGCAGGAATAGCATCGTGTAATAAAAATCAAACCCGCAAAATTATAATTTGCGTAATTACTGGTGGTAGGACGTCTTCGGTTTGAAAAGTGGGGCAGCCGTTGTAACTATACTTGAGACCTTAGAACTTATATCTCAAGGTGGGTGGCGGCATTTACGTTGCAGATGTCTATGGGCTCCAGTAACCACTTAACACCAGGTGGATTGTAAGCTCGTCCACCCAACTAAGCAATAAAAAATAAATAAGAAACATACCTCTTTGATTGTAAAATACTTCGTATACCCTGGCAACTCCTCACACATAGCGAGAAAAAAAAACGCTTAAAAGCTTCAATAAAATCTCAATTGTGATTTTGGGTTTTATTTATTCAGATACAATTCAATTTAAATCGATTGCTGACCGCCGACCATGGGCACGAATTGCTGACGCTTAAAGCCGTTGCTTACGCTTGCTCACGTATTTGGCCATGTCAATTAGATGGCTTATCTCGATCGCTTGACTGGCTATCTGTTCGTATGCATTTATATGCTCGAGCGGCTTCCACTCCCTATACAATCGTTTTAAAGTAGCCGCTATGTCGATCATTACATTGTATTTATCTGTAATATCGCCTATTAGGTATCTGCGAAGGAAGATCAGTATGAGTATAATTTTTGGGCGTAGATAAGCATTTTTTTTTATTGCTTGCATAGGCTGAGGAGCATACGGCCAACCTGATGGTGAGTGTTTACCGTTCGCCCATGGACGTCAGCAATGTGTGTGTGGCGCGACAATAACCACTCGTATTTACAGTAGAACAGTGGGGGTTGTTTGTTCAGGAGTTCTCTTAAATAATTGTTTAACTACACGCGTTGGACTTATTATGCTTAATTATTCTTTTTAACATTACGGAAACGGTCAACTTAACTAATCTTATTCAAGTAAATAACAGTGCTGCGCCCGATATATATATAAACAGTATGTTTTCGAAAAGTTATAGCGTTATAATTTACTTTAGTGCTAGTCGAATAAGACCTACCAGATGAAGGTTTACAATTTTGCCGCAGCCAAGGTATTAACCTACCGGCCGTCGTCAGCGGGATACGCGATGCTGACGCCCGCCCATACGCTGAACACTCACCCAACTTCGAAGGGCGTCGAGTTCTGATACTGCTGTCGGATCTGCACGGCTTTGTTCGCTTTCATGTCGCTATCTCGGACCGTTTCATACATCAGCCTGAATAGTTTCAAACGCATTGTGTTCTCGTCCGACTCCGGATCAGGATGTTGAGTTCCTTCGTCCTGTCTCCTTTGGATCAGCGCGGCGATGCCGACTCGCCTGTCTATCACGTTTGGACCTTTGAATATTTAACAATGTTCATGAAAAGGTTGGCTGCTATGTACGTCACCAGTGCCCTACGCGGCGCACTGAAGTGATTATGTTAATTTCTGTGTCATGTGAGGGCCGTATGTACGAGCGAGATACCTTACTATTACTACTACCACCACTACTACTGCTACTACTACTACTTCCACCACCACTACTACCACCACCACTACTACCATCAGACGCATCACTCACGGACGCCTTTGGGGTAGACAAGAATAATCTAGGAAAAGTCGCGGTTTTATTGATGTAGGACCTCTTGTGAGTCCGCGCGGCCTATTTCTGCTGTGAAGCAGTAATGCGTTTCGGTTTGAAGGGCGGGGCAGCCGTTGTAACTATACTATACCTTAGAACTTATATCTCAAGGTGGGTGGCGCATTTACGTCGTAGATGTCTATGGGCTCCAGTAACCACTTAACACCGGGTGGGCTGTGAGCTCGTCCACTCATTTAAGCAATAAATACAAAAAATATATTTTTCGATTGAAAAAATAACATATCTATATAAATGTTATTATGATAAATATCTATAAAGAAATAAGAAACCTTGTTTCTTCATTAGAGCATCACTGATCGCGTTCCTGAGCACCGGTGAGCCTCCAGACGGCTTCGAAGACGGATACTCGTTCAGGAGTTTCAACTTCACATTCCAAGAGAGGTCGTTAAGGATTTTCTCCTGGAGTTTGGTTACATTGGTGGCTAGCGTTGCATCTAGAAAATGATTGGGCGTGTTATCAATATAAGTCTCTATTTATTTTATTTATTCAATTCAATACAAAGTCAGGTTTACAGTTTGTACCAAAGCATTAAAATGAATTACATTACTAAAATTATTAAGTACTAGCTGTACCCGTCCGCTTCGCTGGGCATTTAAAATGAACATTATTATTTCTCACCCCCACAAAGATTCTCATCATTAACGACCCCGCACCTGGTGTAGGGAGTCCAATACTCATATAAATATCAGCCTATCCATTAAGCACATGTATTTTCTACATGGATACCAAGTTTCAAGTCAATCGGATGCATGGTTCAGTAGTTATAACGGAACATCCGTAAAAACCACGGTAGATTTATATATTAGTATACATTTATATACAAGAATTGCTCGTTTAAAGATATAAGATTATGTATTATGCTAAAAATAACATTATTTTTGACAAAAGTATTCCCCATCTATCGGCAAACACATCAGCATCCTGGATTTCGGACAGAAATTCGTTTAAAAGCGCAATTGTCCTGGCCATAGGACATTTCCTAGCTCTACGGGTCCTCAGCCCCGCCAACGCCGCGAATAAGTAAGGTAACTTCTACTGTACTCTATACCTATTTTTTATGGTAATGATGGACATCAAGCAGGTAATGTCACTGCCCGTCTCGAGACATCAGTTCTAAGGTCTCAGTATAGTTACAACGGCTGCCCCGCCCTTCGAACCGAAACACATTACTGCTTCACGACAGAAATAGGCAGGGTGGTGGTACCTACCCGTGCGGGCAATACGCCCCCAAAACCAGTAAATATTCCACAAGGATATTCTCAGGTTACCCCAGAATGCCGAAACAATTGCCGTGCGAAAAACGGAATAGCCGCTGAAGTCGGTATTTTCTCCGGCTCCGGCTTTTATTGCCCTTGTAGGCAGACGAGCACGGCCCATCTGATGGTGACTGGTTACCGTCGCCCATGGACGTCAGCAATGCCAGGGGCAGAGCCAAGCCGCTGCCTACCAAAAGCTTCGAATAGGTACTTCACAGTTTTCATGATCGCATATGTTTTATTCATCGAAGTTTGAATATTTTGTTGACTACCGTCTATTTTTTAATAAAAAACATTTCTAAGCTTTTAAGTTTCATTTCACACAAAATGAACCAGCATATTGAAGTCTGTCGGTTCTTTAGATTTGTTTTTATCTTCGCGTTAATAGTATCCAGGGTCCAAGGGTTCTTAGGATCAAGATTAGCGTGTTTTTGTCTTATTTTCATGGACTGTTTTTTTTTCTAACTAAGGCGATAGCTTTATAGGCAAGTAGGTGAGCTCACGAGGCTCTAACCTGAGGACACTGCTAACACGAACCCTAGCAAGAGCCGTGCTTCGCAGAATCTACCACCGGATCGGAAACGACCCACTGAGAAGATCCGGCGAAAAACTCAGTGGGTTGTGTCTAATTTACTCGCCGAGACCTTCGTCGCAAGCGACGGGTTTGGCGAGGACGATGACCGGTGCTTGAGGTACCTTATAGCACCGTTAGTGAATCGGGAGGATCCGTAATGACGTGTATGGTTTCACATACGTGTGACTAGCTTGCTTTGTTTAGTAACGTTATAATGATATTATAATGTGTGACGGTAAAATATGTTTTAATTAAGGCCTGTTAGAGTAAAATCCTCTTGATTCGAATGCGTATTAACACATTAACTGTTGTGTAGGTCACCGGTGCCCTACGCGGCGCACTGAAGTAATTATGACGATTTCTGTTATTAAGGCGCCTGGATTGACTAACTTTGCTCTTTTAAATCTCTTGTAAATAGGTTAATTCTCAGTATCGTTCGGATTCGTCTCTCCCAGAATCTACTAGATATTCCGGTGCCTTAAGGAGATAGAAGAGAGAAATCGACATAATTACTGCAGTGTGCCGCGTAGGGCATATATGCCCTATATGACAGTCAATGTAATAAGCTTTCGAATTCAGAAAGCTTTTCATACTTGCCGAGCTTCGCATTTGGCGAAAGTATTATAGTCGTCGTGGCCTAAAGGATAAGACGTCCGGTGCATTCGTATGTAGCGATGCACCGGTGTTCGAATCCCGCAGGCGGGTACCAATATTTCTAATGAAATACGTACTTAACAAATGCTTACGATTGACTTCCACGGGGAAGGAATAAAAAACATCGTGTAATAAAAATCAAACCCGCAAATTTATAATTTGCGTAATTACTGGTGGCAGGACGTCTTGTGAGTCCGCGCGGGTAGGTACCACCACCACCCTGCCTATTTCTGTCGTGAAGCAATAATGGGTTTCGGTTTGAAGGGCGGGGCAGCCGTTGTAACCATATTGAGACCTTAGAACTTATATCTCAAGGCGGGTGGCACATTTACGCTGTAGATTTCTATGGGCTCCAGTAACCACTTAACAACCAGGTGGGCCGTGAGCTCGTTCACCTATCCAAGCAATAAATTAAAAAAAGTTACTTGTCATAGTTACCCCAAGAATACAACTTACTCAAGGCAACTGAACAAAGCCACCCAACTAAGCAATAAAAAAAAAAGGAATTTCTATAACCGAAGATCTAAAAATTCGGCAATAAAAGAACGCTGTCAGTCAAGAATATTAATATTATAATAATTAAGACGGTATTCTCAAATTCACTAATCAAGTCTACCAATAATAATCGATTTCCCATCCGTAATCCAAGTCCCACATTTTCTTGGGGTGCTTCGGTTTTTTCGTGGGTCCATACAGCGTCTTATTCCTGTTCTTCCAGAACCTCTTCATGTTGAACATCTTCCTCTTCTTAGTGGATCTAAATGCAGACAACGTACGCTGGTTAGCGAAGAGTATCGATCAACACCTTAAGATTTTTTTTATTTTATTGCTTAGTTCATTGGACGAGCTCACAGCCCACCTAGTGTTAAGTGGTTACTGGAGCCCATAGACATCTACAACGTAAATGCGCCACCCACCTTGAGATATAAGTTCTAAGGTCTTAGTGTAGTTACAACGGCTGCATCGCCTTTCAAACCTAAACGCATTACTGCTTCACGGCAGAAATAGGCGGGGTGGTGGTACCTACCCGTGCGGACTCACAAGAGGTCCTACCACCAGTAAAAAAGAAACTTTCGTTATCCAGCTGGGTTAAGGGCCTGATACAGAAGGCAATTATCCTCGATACTGCGCGTATTGTGAGGAGGTTTCTCACTCTGGACTCCTAACCACTGGTAAGGTTAATAAGCTTTTAAATATATATAGTAGAATAATAATAACTAGTGGTCCCTCAATAGTCAAAGTTCGATTATAATTAATTGAAATTAAAACTTTGAACATTATTATGGTTCTAAAGACAAATAGTATTAAAGACGAACAATATTAATCTATGCTCAATTTGACCACAGACTTTAAACAATAACAAAAGTTTGACAATTGACAATAAACACAGCGAGTATGCATGGTAGTGTGTGTAATGTTTTTTTTTATTATTTATATCATGTATTTTTTATCACTAGAGGTCCCGCAGTAGTCGAAATTCGACTATAATTAATTGGAATTGTAAGTTTGTACACTATTATGATTGTATTTTATACTTCTATAATCACAAATTTCGCCAAGACTACACTATAAAAATATTAATAAAGGCAAACAATATTTAATCTCAATTTGACCACAGACGTCAAGAACAAAAGTTTGACAATAAATAGTATGCATGCGTGTGTGCGTCAAATACATGGTATGTAGTGTGTGTAATGTTTTCTTTATTGATTTAATGTATCTTTTATGCATTATTTTAAAAAAAATATTAGCATTGTGCACTTCTTCTCTATATTCTCTATAAGAGTGGGAAATTTCATACTCCTCCGTCCATGCAATTTTCGTAAAAAGGGATACAAAGTTTTTGCTTCACGTATTAATATATAGATAATTAAAAAATACATTAACATTCTGCACTCCTTCTCTATATTCTCTATAAGTGTGGGAAATTTCATACTCCTCCGTCCACGCGCAATTTTCGTAAAAAGGGATACAAAGTTTTTGCTTCACGTATTAATATATATATATATAATTAAAAAATACATTAACATTCTGCACTCCTTCTCTATATTCTCTATAAGTGTGGAAAATTTCATACTACTCCGTCCATGCAATTTTCGTAAAAAGGGATACAAAGTTTTTGCTTCACGTATTAATATATAGATAATTAAAAAATACATTAACATTCTGCACTCCTTCTCTATATTCTCTATAAGTGTGGAAAATTTCATACTCCTCCGTCCACACGCAATTTTCGTAAAACGGGACAGAACATTCTAGACGAAACCTCACTCACCTCATAGTCGGATAATTAATGCTGAAGTGTTGCTTCGTCACCGCGTCATTGTATGGACTGCCGAAGCCATAGGGCACGGCGTATTTATTCTCAATCTCGTGCAGCATATTAGCCAGATGCTCGATCTGCCAGTAGTGTCTTTCGATCTCCTCCAAATACAGCACAAGCTCCATCAGATACAGCTTGGTCCTCATGTAGGAACTGGTGTTATATTTATCGACCATCTTGCGATATTTCTCCTGTATCACGTAGGTAATGTAGCCGACTTCGAAAGGTGGAGTGTTTACGTTATCCTGCAGCCGTAGAGGACAAGTTAGTTAGTCGTCTTGGCCTAAAGGATAAGACGTCCGGTGCATTCGTATGTAGCGATGCACCGGCGTTCGAATCCCTCTGGCAAGTACCTACGAATTTTTCTTATGAAATACGTACTAAGTTCACGATTGATTTCCACGGCTAAGGAATAACATAACGTGTTAGAAAATCAAACGCTCAAAATTATAATTTGCGTAAATACTGGTGGTAGAGCTTCTTGTGAGTCCGCATGGGTAGGTACCACCACTACCCCACCTATTTCTGCCGTGAAGCAGTGATGCGTTTCGGTTTGAAGGGTGGGGCAGCCGTTGTAACTATACTGAGACCTTACAACTCATATCTCAAGGTAGGTGGCGGCATTTACTAAGCAATAAAAAAAATTAAAAAACAATCATCATCAGTTATCTATTAGGTCATTGGAATGCTTTAATAACACGTTCAGGAGCTGGACAGTTCGGTAGCCTTCTAGAATTATCTGCGGCTTGGACGCGCTCGCTCTGTCCCCATGGGACGGGAGAGGTTCTGACGTCGCAAACATTGACAATAAACTAGTCAAGTGTGGCCATGTCTTAGATGACAATATCCGAACTGTTCTTTAACCATCTTGCATAATAGCGTCCGGGTTACAGACAAGAGAGAAAAAGAAAGAGAGGGAGAATATAATTCATTGCGCATTAAAACACAATTAACATCAAAAACAGCCAAAAAGATACAGTAGACGCGTTGCGTTGTACTATTAAGAATATACAGAGTGGTCTATCAAGGTAGACCAAGCAATTACGCATATGAATTAAGAAAATACATATTTACAATAAATATAACGTCTGCATGGCTGGGCCCATGATGCTTAGTCTTCTTACAGTGGACGCCTGCTTTGGTTCAGTTTTCTCTCATCCATCCGGGACGAGCATTGGAAATTTAACTAGGTTCATCTCTGACAGACCCAAAGACCTCAGCTTACCTGTCTAATGTACTGCAGTTCAGACAACCTTTGATTGGTGTCCTGTATTATATCCGACGTTGTGTTTATAATCAACAGGGCTGAAAACAGATCGGCACCTTCCAACTTTATCTTCTCCGTTTTTTCCGAGGTCTGTGTTAAGCCACTACCTAAAAAGATTAAGGTATTGAGTTTCACTTTTTCGTGGGCATTCGGTAGCCGCTCATGGCCGCGTGAGAAGTCAATGAAACAATAATTGTGACAAGTCCAAAGTTTTTACTTACGTGCGTTCGAGAGGGCTAGAGAGCGTACAGTACCCGGCGAGAGATGCCGCCCATCGGTCTTTAGAAAGAGGTTAATTCCGGCTTCGTATAGCGCTGTCTCTGTCGCACAAAACACGCGAACAACGCGATCGAACACTTCCGCGATTGAACGTCAAATAGCTTAAACGTCAAAACATCATTGAAAATCTTCGATCAACAATAGTAACTAGATAAAGGGATACGTACAAAATTAAAGCAAAAACTGTCCGCGTGAATATATACTTATATAGCTACATTCGTTTACTAACAAACGGAGAAAAAAGTTTTGAAACACTTTTACTTTCAAACTAATAACAACTATGGCACCTAGTAATAAAGTCACAAATCTCCAAAACATTATCTAATACTTACGATCATTCGTCACATAAAACGAGCAAAGCAATAAATTACTCCTGTCACTTACCAATAAAAAGACATATTTTAAACAACTTTTAATGTTAAATCAATCTTAAGGTGCAACAAATAAAGTAACTTTTCCCTTAATTGCTCTGAGAACTAACATCGTTTTGCTTTATTTATTTTTGCTTCTTGAAATGCCGATTTCTATTTACTACAGGAGGTAAGGGAGTCGCGCTTAACACTAAAATAATTTATTAATGAATTAAAGTAAAAGTTTAGTTGTTTACTTTTTATGTTTTGGAAATGTATGTTTGTTAGTATCTATACATTACTTATTATTTTATTAGCGTTACGTTTTTGTGTAATATATATTTTTAAGTTTTCGCGACCAGTGCACATAATAAAACAACGTTTAAACGGTTTCAAGCGTGGTATTTTTATTACAATGTTTCGGCCACATTTCAGTAGCCGTGAGCACGGAAGGCAAAGATGTCCAGTGTCAATAAGCGGAGTTCTTAGCTGGCTTATAAAAGTCATCTCTTGTTTCTCTGGCGACAATCGAGATCCATTCTGCACACGTGATTGCTAGGAAAGCTAAAATAAAAATGGAAAGCTAAGTATCTAATGAGAGTCCAACAAACAGACACAAAAGCAGCATTAACCAATTTTAACCAACTAATTTTGAAGTGCTGCTAACAAATTTTAAAAAATTATTACAACACAAATCTACTCCATGCATTTACTGTTCTGTTAAGCAAAAGTTTGTCCATGTGTTGGCCGAGCCTTGGCCAACATTTGTAGCGGTGGTTAAAAATCGGTAATTTTGTTCAAAATTTAATATTATTTATAAGTTTAAAGCTTACAATATAGTTTATACTTCATGTACTTACCGAAAGTATGATACTCCGGCCGTTAAATTGCTTTTTCGGGCCTTATTCTTGCAACTTTTGAATACACACTGCGGTATTGTGAGACGGGTTGACATTGGCTGTGTTTGAAGTGAACTAAACAAAATAAGAGCTCACATTTCAAGTGCGCTGTTATTTGACGAGACGGATTTTATGCACCGACCCGAAATCTAGTTACTATTGTTGATCGAAGTTGAAAATGGTCCAGCTATGTCGAAGTCTGTATGGAACTTGTTTCCATTTTAAACCTAATCTTTAGGTAGCCTTAGAGCAGAATCTACCACCGAATCGGAAACGCGAAAACACTGAGAAGATCCGGCGAGAAACTCAGTGGGCATCTATTTGTATAGTCTTTATATTAACGTCACAATCTTTTTTTTTTAAACCTTCATGTTTTATTAATTTCCCGTCTCTTTTGTCCTTGTCATCTGTCATTTTTTCCTTTTCTTTTGCGACTTCCTTCAAATAGGTTGAATAATGGCCTTTGACTGATAGTGGCCTTTTTAGTCACAATATAGTTTTAATAATGCCTATGACTGGAGAATACTGAAGTGTTCCCCATATTTCGGCGTTCCTACCAGCAAGCCATGATCGCAACATGAAAACAATTCATAAAATATAACATAAAACACTTACGTATAAACAATAAGATTAATAGAGAGTTCATTTTCTTTTTTTTTTTTGCTGGCATGCACGGATTACAATCTGTCAGTTTTGACAGCCGGGCTACGCAAAGGGAAATAAAAACATTAGAGTCTGTACTATTCTTTGCAATCTCAGTTAATAAAGTGTTAATGTTTTTTAACTAGTACCATCACGCGGATTTTACATTATTTTATTTAACAAGCTTGTCGAGACGAAATCTCTAGAATTGTCAAGTATATTCCACACAACTCGAGTATTTTGTTTTTCCGCTTTCTGATAATAGATGGCGTTGTACTTCTCGAGCGTTCTAGATGCTGCTAGATCCTTCGATATTCGTTCAGCTATTCGGCGATAGATGGCGTTACTGTTACCGGCGTAACAATATTAAATATATGTATATTAGTCGTCGGTTTTCATGATAAAGGCATTAATTACTACATAGTTATGTGTGAGCTAAGGTTAGTTTGAGGCCAGACACTTTGTGTTTTTGGCCGATTATGTATTGAGATTAAATAGACGAGGACATGCAATACGCAACCTGAACACAGTGACCCACCTTGAGACATGAGGTCGAATTCTCAATTGTCGCATAACCTCATTCTGCTAGCCGAAACAGAACGCAGCTTGAACCAGCAATATGCTTATTGAGTCTAGGTTATTACCAAGATAGATAGCACGTTGTTTTAAAACTGTCTTGATTCTCCTCTAAATCTTAGACCGGAAAGTATAATCCTTAGCACAACTGGAATACAACTTGTACATCACTTCAGACAGACAAACAAATTTCGAGAGTAGATATTAAATAGTAGACGCAAAATCGATATAAACTCGAAATAACACAGTGCATTTTACGAGGTAATTACAAAAATTGATGCGAACTTTTAATTAATCAATTCGTTTACGTATTATTTGTGTATACGTCATTTTAATCATCAATTTCGTAATGCGCTTCGGAGCTTTTCACAGAATTTAACTGAAAAACAAAAACTTTTATTATTTTCCTTTACGTGATTCGCGAACTAAACCCAATTAAGGCTAGTGTTACATACTGCTTTTAATCTAAAAAATTTTATTGTCGTTATTAATACCGTAAATTTTTTTTTGTTAAATTATTATCGTGTGTGTTTGAAATATTAACGATTTATTGCGCGACTTATTTCGTGATCTGAACAATGAGTAAATCATGATCGTTATATTACTGTCTGTTCTGTGTAAGTATTAGTTTTATATGGTTATTAGCTGACCCTGCAAACGTTGTTTTGCCTAATGAATTATTTCTAGGAAAGATAAGTTAATAATAATAATTAATAAATAAATATTTACTAACAGTCACGCCACGTTAACTGGTCCCGTGCTAAGTTCGTAAAGAACTTGTGTTACAGGTACCAGATAACGGAAATAAATATAAGATTTTTATTATACACATACACATATTTAATATACATCCATAACCCTGGAAAAGATATTTATATTTATCATACAAATATCTTCCCTTGGCGGGATTCGAACCCGCGACCCCCTTGTATAGTGACCATGTCACTTACCACTACACCAGACGGCCGTTTAATCTGAATGAAATTAACCTGGATATCGACAGCAGCGCCATCTGCCGGGCTGATTTGTGAATCTAACCCATCCAGGGCGCCAATCAAACGCATATATAATAATATGGTTATAGATAGGTATAGGTAAGATGGCTTATCGACGTGATGCTCTAGGGTCCGGGCTGGGTAGATATATTTTTTATTGCTTAGGTGGGTAGACGCCCCACTTAGTGTTAAGGGATTATCGAATCCCATTGGCATCCACAAGAATGATGAGTTGTAAGTTTCAGTTTTGTCAGTAAAACGGCTGCCCCGCCCTACAAACCGAAACGCATTACTGCTTCACGGCAGAAATAGGCAGGACGGTGGTATGTAGTGTCTGTATGGTGGGTGGTATGATAAGCAAATAACGAGTAATAAAGAAGTATTGTGATTATAAATTGAAACAAAAACTATCCTATCTCTCAAGTTGCAATAAAACGCAATTTTTGAGAGAGAATACCTTAAACTCGTACAGTTCATTTCGGAGTTCACCCCGGACAAATAACGCGACGCGAGGATACGTAAGTTATCACTGGTGGTAGGACCTCTTGGGAGTCCGCACGGGTAGGTACCACCACCCCGCCTATTTCCGCCGTGAAGCAGTAATAAAGGGTGTGGGTAGCCGTTGTAACTATACTGAGACTTTAGAACTTATATCTCGAGGTGGGTGGAGCATTTACGTTGTAGATGTCTATGGGCTCCAGTAACCACTTAACACCAGGTGGGCTAATTTTTTTTGTTGCTTTAACTATCCAAGCAACAAAAAAAAAAAACTTAAGTATATACGGAACGAGGCTGGTTCCATGGCGTTTTTAAAATGATGACGTGAGCGTGGCGGACGCCATTCTTTTCATTATTATCATTGCCTGCCATTGTGAAAGTAATTATGATTCACTTTTCCAATGTATTCCATTTATTACATTTCTAGAGTACAACGTTAACAACAGACAGCTCCGCTCCTTTCGGCTGCTCGAGTCTGAATGTTTTGAGCGACAATAGTCACAAGTATTTATAGTAGAAAATGGGGTTAGCTTATTAATTAATTCTCTTGAATACCGTCTTAAACAGTTGTTGATATGCGTAACGTTAAGGAAACAGTTAACTTGAACTGTTTTTAGTTTTAATAGTGATTTTGCGCCAAGATATATAATGGAGGATAATAAAATTTTCCCTAAATAAGTCATCGATCCCTGCGTCTGCAATCACACGGGATGGCCGCCGCGCCCGCTGCCATGGAAGACCTGGGCCGACCAGCTGATAGCCATTCATCTTATTAACATGACAGCCGAACTGATTAGAGGTACGTGCGTACTGGTCTCTTCTTTTTTCTTTCTTTCCTTTTACCCTCTGCTGAGGTGTAAGGCTCCAATCAAATTCTCCCAGTTGCATCGGTCTTGGGCAGTCTGGTCGACTTCATCCCACGTCATGCGCAATACGCCCAGTTCCTGCTTTAAAAAAAATCCAACTAAAAAATAGAAAATAAATTTGAATAAAAATAGTAAGAAAAAGTGATTTTATTGTAAAAAAAACGTGGGGTGCATGGTATCAGTAGTTATAAATATTTTATGAACAGATATGAGTAGAAAGTTTTATTTTGATAATATCCTGAAAAGCACGCCACGCTTTTTTACAATAAAATCATTTTTTCTTACACTATTTTTATTCAAAGTGATTAAAAAAAATTCTATTTTTTTATTGGATTTTCTATAAAAGCGTATTTTGTTAGTTTTTTTAAACTATTATTTATTTTTAATTTTTTAGTTGAATTTTTAATTTTTTCAATATTTTTTTTAAATATTTAATTGTGATCGGTCCTTAATAAGTATTCCAAATTTCGAGTTAATCCGTCGTTTTAAAGGGGTCAAAGTCATGTTCAAAGATTCCTTTACGAACATACATACGTCTGAAGCTAATAAAAGCGTATTAAAAACCAAAAGATCCATGTATAAATGTGCGATTTAATTTACTTTTTATACCTTAATCTTGTATATCATAGCATCAGTCTATGGCACTTCACTGGGTATAGGCCTGGCACACCACTGAGCACAATCCTCAGCTTCTCCCGTCCAGCTCTTTCCAGCGACCCGAACATAAGAGCATTGCTCCTCCATCGCATTTATTACTGTCGTTAAATTATTTCCGACGTTACAAATGCTTCGTGGTCTGACGGCTCCTGAAAATCCCGGAAAACTGCCAGAGCTTGAAAGTCGAGAAACGATTTTGATAGACAAAGATACCCGGATCCCCTCTCGGGGCTTTTAAGCTCTTCAAGCCCCGGTCACCGTCCTCGTCGATTGCTACAAAGATTAACCCACGCGCGATTTCGATGCGGTGGTAGATTCAGCAAAGCACTGCTCTTGCTAGGGCTAGTGTTAGCAAATTCTCTCAGTCAAGCACCGGAGCTCTACGAGCGAACTATCCTATAAACACAGCCGACTGAGTTTCTCGCTGGATCTTCTCAGTGGGTCGCGATTCCGATCCGGTGTTACATTCTGCGAAGCACTGTTCTTGCCAGGGCTAGTGTTAGCAAATTCTCTCATGTCGAGCCAGTGAGCTCACCTATCGTCCGGGCGTACCTTAAATAGCCCCTTAGGCTACCAGCGCATAGGTAAGGAAAAGAAAACACGTCGTTACGACTAATCGAACAAAAGAATAGTGCATTGTGCACCAAGAGGGAAAAGTTGGACATTTCCTCCCGCGTGTAAAATTACCAAACGAGCCGAAAGCGAATTTTTAAATAAACTACTACTAATTGAATAAGAACTGTCTGATGAACTCATCCGTGTTTAATACTTCACTGTTAAATGTTATTGCCTTTTGTTCATTTCACGTTTTTGAAGTGAAAACTTCTTTTGAAGTCGTCGTGGCCTAACGGATAAGACGTCCGGTGCATTCGTGCTGAAGCGATGCACCGGTGTTCGAATGCCGCAGGCGGGTACCAATTTTTCTAATGAAATACGTACTCAACAAATGTTGACGATTGACTTCCACGGTGAAGGAATAACATCGTGTAATAAAAATGAAACCCGCAAAATTATAATTTGCGTAATTACTGGTGGTAGGACCTCTTGTGAGTCCGCACGGGTAGGTACCACCGCCCCACCTATTTCTGCCGTGAAGCAGTAATGCGTTTCGGTTTGAAGGGTGGGGCAGCCGTTGTGACTATACTGAGACCTTAGAACTTATATCTCAAGGTGTGTGGCGCATTTACGTTCTAGATGTCTATGGGCTCCAGTAACCACTTAACATCAGGTGGGCTGTGAGCTCGTCCACACATCTAAGCAATAAAAAATAAAAATAANGAGAAAACAAAAAAAAAAAAAAAAAAAAAAAAAAAAAAAAAAAAAAAAAAAAAAAAAAAAAAAAAAAATCTATAGAATCGTTGTGATTTCAAACCGGATGCAACGGAAAAAAGGACAGGTAAGAGACACAAATACAAAAATGTGTAGGATGAAGCCAGCAAAGAATGAGACAGAAATATACATACTATTTAATACAGCACCATCTGTGAGATTTTTTAATAATAACGTGTATATGAAAGCTCTTGTAGTGAATTTTAATTTAGGATTATACGTGAAATTAAAATATCAATTCACAGAGGGCGCTACCTTACAATTATTTACTAATGACAAAATTTTACATATACTTAAGACGTTTAGGATAATTGTATTTTAATTTTGGAAGGTTTCACTTCTACCACGTGTGAATTGCACACATTTTGTATATTTTTTTTTATTGCCCTTGTAGGCAGACGAGCATACGGCCCACCTGATGGTGAGTGGTTACCGTCGCCCATGGACTTCAGCAATGCCAGGGGCAGAGCCAAGCCGCTGCCTACAAAAACTTTACACTAAACACAATATTGCAAATTACCCGAGCACGAAAATGGCGGAGACTTTTAGGTGCGTGAGAGCAGACGTAGACAGTAACGCGCATGCGCACTTGTCAGTACCCAGGGAGAAAAGTTAGACTTTCTAGGGAAGAAAACAGCGGGAGGAAAACCGAACTTTCGGCGTAGGTAGGAGAAAAAAACATTTTATATTCGCAGATGCGGATTTAAAAGTGAGGCACGCTGATAAAATCCAGTCCCAGTACAAGAATTCGGTGACATACGAATTAGGCACTATAGCCGCCGGCATCCAAGACAAATATAGACACATGCTGGAGATATACAGGATTTATTCGAATGTCACGTTGCATATGGCGGTGAACTTCACAATTTACGACAGCCTGAACGCGTATCACGTTCTGCGTGAGTGAATTTAAGTTATATTACGTATCCATCCGTGTGCAAGTGGCAGTGGGCAGGCCACATAGCGCGAAGATCGGACGGCCGATGGGGCGGAAAGATCCTCGAGTGGAGACCACGTACTAGCAGGCGCAGTGTGGGACGGCCACCTACGAGATGGACCGACGAACTGGTAAGAACCGCTGGGTCACGTTGGATGCAGGTGGCAACGGACCGGCCGCACTGGAGATCACTTGGAGAGGCCTATGTTCAGCAGTGGGCAATGGACAGGCTGAGATGATGATGATGATGACGTATCTATCCTAAAATGTGAACAAATGCGGATAAAATTTGTTATTGCAGATAATAAATAGCTTTTTAGCTTTTAGAATATTATCCGTGAAGAAAAAAAAAACAACTGTTCCAAAACAAATTCATTATCTATAAACATACCTAATATCGTCGTAAAAGTAGCTTTGATGCAATATAAATAATGTGTGTGTGTGTGTGCGTTTCTTTTTTAATTAATTTAAGAATTATAAGTTTAATTATAGATTTTTTTACATATTTACGATTTTTTCATTTAACTATCCATAAAAACACAAAATATATAGCCAAAAGAACTCCGTTCCAATCAGGTGTCCATAAAAGCAATCTCTGATTTTTTTTTATGTAAATATTTTTGGAAAAATGTTTTTATTTATTTATTGCTAAAATGGGTGGACGAGCTCACAGCACACCTGGAGTTAAATGGTTACTGAAGTCCATAGACATCTACAAAGTAAATGCGCCACCCACCTTGAGATAAACGTTCTAAGATCTCAGTATAGTTACAACGGCTGCCCCACCCTTCAAACCGAAACGCATTACTGCTTCACGGCAAAAATAGGCAGGGTGTTGTACCTACCCGCGCGGACTCATAAAAGGTCCTAACAACAATAAAAAATAATATAACATTAATGAACGAACCGCAACCAAATAAATTGTTTTTTGTAGAAAGCGATTACAATGAGATCAAAGTGGAGCAAAATCTATTCTATGAGGTGCTGGCGAAGCACGAGGGTGAGAAACGGAAGCTGGAGAAGCTGAGGAAGAAGCAGCTGGATAAGATGAGGGGCTCGCTCGGCTTCGAAGGGGGCGGCGGGAGAGGTCGCAGACTCGGAAACAGAAAACCGGCGTTGTGGAGGGACGGCGGAGCTTTCGAAGCTGGGAACTTTGATTTCGGTGCTGATTTGAAATAAAGCTTGTCAAAATTTAGTCTTTTTTGTTTTACTGGTGGTAGGACGTCTTGTGAGTCCGCACGGGTAGGTACCACCACCCTACCAATTACTGCCGAGAAACAGTAATGCCTTTCAATTTCAAGGGCGGGGTAGCTGTCGTAACTATACTGAGACCTTACAACTCATATCTCGAGGCGGGTGGCGCATTTACGTTGTAGATGTCTATGGGCTCCGGTAACCCCTTTATACCAGATAGGCAGTCAGCTCGTCGACTAATCTAGGCAAAAAAAACACCTCCAAATTCAGTGGCGATTTGTGGCTGCACGGCTAGGTACCACCGTCCTGTCTATTTTTGCCGTAAAGCAGTAATGCGTTTCGATTTGAAGGGCGGGGCAGCCGTTCCGGAGTAGAGTTCAACCATACTACCTTTAGCCACTGCGTTCATCCACAGTGCGTTTCCAGCGATCTTTTTTGCCACGTACCATCCGGCTTTGGAATGAGCTCCCCTCCACGGTGTTTCCCGAGCGCTATAACATGTCCTTCTTCAAACGAGGCTTGCGGAGAGTACTTAATGGTAGTGAGCCGCTTGGCTTTGCTCTTGGCATTGCTGAAGTACATGGGCGACGGTAACCACTCACCATCAGGCCCACCTGACTTAAGCGTAAGGCCCACTTTACGCTCGTCTGCACTAGGGCAATAAACAAAATGTACTGTAAAAACTGAGACCTTAGAACTCATGTCTAAAGCTTGGCGGTGGGATTTACATTGTTGATGCCTACGGGCTCTTCTTCTTCTTCATCCTTCCCTCACTGCTGAGGATCGCGACCCTGGTGACTCCGGTAACCACTTAACACGAGGTAAGCCGTGAATTCGATCGCACGTTTGCAAAAGAGGTGGTGAACGATCAAACTCAACGGATATCTGCGTTATTGCAATTAAAATCCGTCATAGCTATTGAGTATTTGATGGGCTAATTAAAAAAAGAAAAACCGTAGGTACCTACATTGTTTATTTACGAGCAAAGTAATGATTATTTTAAACTAGAGGTCCCGCAGTAGTCGAAATTCGACTATAATTAATTGAAAATTGTAAGTTTGTGCACTATTATGATTGTATTTTATAGTTCTATAATCACAAATTTCGCCAAAACTACACTATAAAAATATTAATAAAGGCAAACAATATTTAATCTCAATTTGACCACAGACGTCAAGAACAAAAGTTTGACAATAAATAGTATGCATGCGTGTGTGCGTCAAATACACGATATGTAGTGTGTGTAATGTTTTCTTTATTGATTTAATGTATCTTTTATGCATTATTTTAAAAAAATATTAGCATTGTGCACTTCTTCTCTATATTCTCTATAAGTGTGGAAAATTTCATACTCCTCCGTCCGCGCAATTTTCGTAAAAAGGGATACAACGTTTTTGCTTCACGTATTAATATATAGATTCTGCGCTGTCAATGAATCGGTAACGGTATTTAATTTGTACTGTTTTTTTTAAGTGATAACTTCTTATGGGAGGGTAAGACGCTTCGTTACGTAACGCGTTACGGCGCCAGTCCATCTGGCGTCTCTTTCTCTCACGCACACGGCAGCGGTACTGAAAACGTATGTGACCCCTAACTATTTATGTATCTTGAAAATGTTAGTTATTTTGTTTTTCGTTGTGAATAAATAAATTGATTTCTGTTGGGATTAATTTAGGTAGAAGAAGTTTAATAATATATTATTATAATGTTTAATCAATAACGTGATTTTTAATAATATTCTTAAGGTAATACCAAAAAATCACACTTTATTATTTGATGAATTTAGATCGGTATTTTACACACCTTTAGTACCGTTTACCTGCCAAAGCCACGGTAACCCAAACTTCATAATAGTCCATCGTTCTTACCTGTGTTGGGAGCATGCGCTGACAAACTTTCAGCTTTTATAAAATAACGAAGGTCTGGGGTTCACGGGCTCTTGCTCTAGTTATTTGTCATGATATTTCATCCAAATTTCAAGCTATGAATAAATGAGTCTCATGTCAAATTACAAAACTGTCGCTTGAATAAATAGACTTACACCCTTTGAGATATATCTATTTTAATTTTTTCTTGGTTATTTCTATGTTTAGCCGACTTCAAAAATGGAGGAGGTTCTCAATTCGACTGTATGTAACTTTTTTTATGTTCGTTTCCTCATAACCTTTGACTGGGTGAATCGATTTTGATGATTCTTTTTTTATTAGAAAGCTGACGCTTCCCGTGTGGTCCCATTTTAGTCCAGTTCTGATAATGGTATCCATAAGAAAACCATGTAAGTCTTAAATTTGCATTAAGTACGTGCGCGACAAATAGATGAATAACTCGATAACTCAATATCACGCCAACCAATTTCGATGATTATTGCTTTTGGTGAATGTTAATTTGTTTTGGAATATCTTTTTTTTTCTATTTCAAGTCGGTTTTTGTTAAAGCATTTATCTATTTATCATTATGTAATTTTGTTACAGGTGCATTCAGATGTTTCTGTGGAATGCAGCGAACTAAATCAAGATTGATTTTACGATGAGAATCAATTTTGGATTCGTGTTTTGTGGGTTTTTGTTTTCTGTATATATTTTTACTCTTTACTATTTTTTATTTATTGCCAGAACCCATAGACATCTACAACGTAGACGCCACCGCTCTCCTTTTAGCAGCCCGCCGAATTTTGATTGTTTTGATTTAAGGATTGTTTCGGTGTAATTAAAAGCTGTTTATTGTTTGAGATACCAGTTATCGTGTGTATTCTGAATTAGCAATCTTATAGTTTTATAGGATAGCGAGCTCAGGGAACAATATTCTTATCCAATAGCAACAGCACCCGTTTCTAGCGTCGCACACAGCTCGATTATAATTGGACGCGAAAATTTATACAATACTCTATATAGGTATATAAAAATGAATTTCTGTTCGTTAGTCTCGCTAAAACTCGAGAACGGCTGGACCGATTTGACTAATTTTGGTCTTGAATTATTTATGGAAGTCCAGAGAAGGTTTAAAAGGTAGATAAATATGAAAATGCTCGGAATTAAATAAAAATAACAATTTTGTTTTCTCCTTGATGTGTCCCCCGTCGGACGGATTCCTTTTGTTTGTTTTAAGTTTATCTTATGCAAAAGTTTAGGTCTTTTATTTATCGATTAAGGCACTAAGAAGTCTGCCGGGTCAGCTAGTACCAATATAATAATTAACAAAATACAGATAAAATAACTTCATTTCAATCCTCAGCATTGCAGATGCGTGAACAAAATTAAATGTCGTTGAATAAATCGACTATTGTTTCAGTGTTAAATTTTAACTTAGCCTACGCTCCGACGAAACCTGGAGTTAGTTTGAATGTGACCGAAGATCACAAATTAATGTCCTCGATGAGTAGTCCGAAAGTCGAGGCGGATCATAAGGGCTCATCCACGGCGAAGTCGAGACCGCCTAGGACGGAGTCAGACACCCATCCGCATTTCTCGAATTGGACAACGCCGGGTACCGATCGTACGGGTGATGTTAAAATAATAGTGTCTTTTTCCACCTGCCTATACGTAAGCGTTATTCCAGCTAGGTAGGTATGTGAGCTCACGGGCTCGACTTGAGAGAATTTGCTAACATTAGTCCAAGCAATGCTTTTATCTTGCCTATTTCTGCCGTGAAGCAGTAATGCGTTTCGGTTTGAAGGGCGGGGCAGCGATTATAACTATACTGAGACCTTAGAACTCCTATCTCAACCCACAGACACAGCCCACTGAGTTTCTCGCCGGATCTTCTCAGCGGGTCCCGTTTCCGATCCGGTCGTAGATTCTGCGAAGCACTGCTCTTGCTAGGGCCAATGTTAGCAACACTTCCGCTTTGAGCCCCGTGAGCTCACCTACACGCTAGGGTGAAGCTGAAATAGCCTCTCAAGGCTTCAGGTTAGGAAGGAAAAAAAAAGGCATTTACGTTGTAGATGTCTATGGGCTCCGGTAACCATTTAACACCAGGTGTGCTGTGAGTTCGTCCACCCACATAAGCAATAGATAAAGAAAATAAAAAGCAAGGGCAGTGCTTCGCTGAGTCTACCACCGGATCGGAATCGCGACCCATTGAGAAGATTCAGCGGCTTTTCCAGTTTCTTCACGAATTAGCTCTGTGATGATCCGCCCCCACTGTAACTACAGGACTTCCAAGTCACTCTCCAAACACGTGCTGCTCGACGTTGTATATTTTCTGGTCTTATAGATCCGGACGTATCGCCTGCTACTGACTCTACTAATTCCAAAACTGGACCAGAAGATCTTGAAAAGGAGCTGTCCCCGGATGCCATTGCCAATCTCCTGAACAAGACTAAAGGTTCGTTTGCACAATGATGTCTAAAGAGCCCGGTAGGACGTAAAACTTTGTATCCCTTTTTACGAAAATTGCGCGGACGGAGGAGTATGAATTTTCCCACACTTATAGAGAATATAGAGAAGGAGTGTAGAATGTTAATATTTTAATTGTTAATACATTAAATCAATAAAAAAAACATTACTCACACTACCATGTGTTTGGCATACACACGCATATATGATACTCTTTTGTTTATTGCTTAAAGTCTGTGGTCAAATTGAGAATAGATTAATATTGATTGTCTTTATTATTATTTATCTACAGAGTAGTTCTTGGCGAAATCTGTGATCATAGAAGTATATATATTCTTTGACAATAGAACCGTAATAATGTCCGAACTTATAATACGAGCAATTCTTGTATATTAATATATACATGTATGTATATAATCTGAACCTCGGAAACGGCTCCAACCATTTTCATAAAATTTAGTATACAGGGGATTTCGGGGGCGATAAATCGATCTATCTACGATTTATTTTCAGGAAATGTTGTTTTATTCGTGTTTTCAATAATCTACTCTTCCCGACATCTGTTGGCGAATAATAATACTATTTTTGCAACTAACCGCTTTAAAGACACAACAAGATGGCGTTATCAAAAAAAAACCGAGCAAAGCTCGGTCATCGTCTAGCTTAAGCTAATTATGGTTGAATTTCGACTACCGGGCGACCAGTATTAGTATACGCTACTATATGTACTTGAATTAATTTCAGTTTCACACAACTATTCCGCGGCGGACATCTACAAGAACAATAAGATACAGTCAAGCTTTATCACGTGGGAGTGGACCTTCGACATCAGGAACTTTGGTGACTTCAACTCCTTCATGAGGGTCTGTTTTTATCTCGCCACCACATACAAAAATGCGTAAGTGTCCTAAGGTTTTAGTAAATTACTGAGTTCCTTCCTGGATGCCCAAAAACATTCTCGGGGGTCGTAATTCCGATGCGATGGTAGATTCAGCCTTTTTTTCCTACCTTTTTTTTGTTTATTGCTTAGATGGTTGGACGAGCTCACAGCCCACTTGGTGTTAAGTAGTTACTGGAGCCCATAGACATCCACAACGTAAATGCGCCACCCACCTTGAGATACAAGTTCTAAGGTCTCAAGTATAGTTTCAACGGCTGCCCCACCCTTCAAACCGAAACGCATTACTGCTTCACGGCAGAAATAGGCAGGGTGGTGGTACCCACCCGCGCGGACTCACAAGAGGTCCTACCACCAGTAACCTTTTTTTTGTTTATTGCTTAGATGGTTGGACGAGCTCATAGCCCTGGTGTTAAGTAGTTACTGGAGCCCATAAATATCTACAACGTACCTAAATGCGCCACCCACCTTGAGATATAAGTTCTAAGATCTCTGCCTATGTTTCCTATGTTGAGAGCCTTGATAGGCTATATCAGCATTACCCTAGCGTGTAGGTGAGCTCACGGGGCTCAAACCGGAGGTGTTGCTAACACTGGCCCTAGCAAGAGCAGTGCTTCGCAGAATCTACCACCGGATCGTTAACGTGACCCACTGAGAAGATCCGGCGAGAAACTCCGTGGGCTGTGTCGATTAATTTACTCGCCGAGCCCCTACGGGCGGTGACCAGGAGATTTAGCGTAGCACTGCTCTTGCTAGGACTAGTGTTAGCAAATTCTCTCAGGTTGAGCCCGTGAGCTCACCTACCGGTGTGTAGCTGAAATAGCCTCTTAGGCTACAAATCGAGTAAGTAGGGGAAAAAACTTAAGACGTCCAATTGACTGGAAAATTTGAACGCGTAATGGCCGATGAAGACATTGCTTAGATGGGTATACTAGCTCACGGCCCAACTGATGTTAAGTAGTTCCCGGAGCCCCTAAACGTATTTAACGTAAGTGCCGCCATCTTGAGATATGAGTTCTAAGGTCTCAGTACGCATTACTGCATCAAGGCAGAAATAGGCAGGGCGGTGGTATCTACCAGCGCGGACTCACAAGACGTCCTACCTCCATTCATTACGCAAATTATCATTTCGAGGGTTTGATTTTTATTACACGTTACGTCATTCCTTCACCGTGGAAGACAACAGTGAACATTTGTTAAGTACGTATTTTATTAGAAAAATTGCTACCCGCCGGCGGGATTCGAACACCGTTGCATCGCTACATACGAATGCACCGGACGTCTTATCCTTTAGGCCACGACGACTTAGCGTACCTCTCTCTGAGCGTAAGATGTTCAGTGTTTTAAAATAATTCACAATAATTCCAATTTTCACTATTCCAGGGTTCAAGATATCCGTAAATACTTTTACATCAGATATTTGTACGTTAACAACAAAGAATATGAAATCGGTTATTTAACTCACGAGATAATTTACAAATACCAAATCGTTTTGGAGCTATTTCAAATAATACAAAAGAAGTATGTAACTTTGTCTTGTTTTTAAGCTATCGCATAGCTTTTCAATCAAGAAATTCCGTAACGAAAATAACCTGACACCCCCACTACGCCTACTACGTAGCTCGCGTTCAACGCACGTTGCGCTGGTGTAGTGTTTGTGAATAAGCGCGCGGCGTGACGTCGCACTGCATGCGCATCATGAAAAGTCTGCCCATCTCTCTCTCACGGGGTCTAGCTTATGAGTGTGAAGGGGACAGTTCATGTTTTGCTTTTGTTAATGTTTATAAATATTGCGTGGTCTTATTTTTATTGTTGTTTTAATATTAAATTATTATTGTCTAATTGTAATTGCATAAGTTGATAAAAATGCTTTGCAATAGCTTTACCGCGGCAGTCCCCGAGTGCCACACGTGTTTTGTTTTTGTTTTTCTTATTAAACATTTTGACTGAGTGGTGCTGTAGTTAGCGGTCCTGATCGGTGCGCCTAGGGTCGCGGGTTCGATTCTCGCATCGGGCAAACGTTCTTGCTCTTTGTCTGGGTGTTTATTATCTATATATGTATATATTTAAACGTATATAATTATGTTTGTCAGTCTCTGGTACCCATAACACAGGGAATCCTAAATTGGGGACGGATGACTGTTTGTGTAAACAGTCATCAGTAAACAAACAGTGCGTTTCCAGAGATATTTTTTGCCACGTACCGTCCGGCTTTGGATTGAGCTCCCCTCCACGGTGTTTCCCGAGCGCTATGACATGTCCTTCTTCAAACGAGGCTTGTGGAGAGTATTAAGCGGTAGGCAGCGGCTTGGCTCTGCCCCTGGCATTGCTGAAGTCCATGGGCCACAGTAAGCACTCACCGTAAGGTAGGCCGTATGATCGTTTGCCTACAAGGGCAATAAAAATTAAAACTAAAGCAACCAAGCGAAATACTTACAAATTACGTCACATAAATATTCAGAATGCCTAACATCTATTTCCTAACAGGGTTGTCCAGACGAGATAATTTAATGGTTATATTTTTATGATACGCTCCGTTTTAAGGTATGAACGGCACCCTGAGAGGGACTTCGCGATGCCATCATATATGTTGTATATGTATACGAACATTTTACACCAAAGCACCGATATTATACATCTTTGCAACATGCTACACGAGATAGAGAAGAAATATGAACATAACACCGATCTAGGAGTGTTTTATAATTCTAAGGAGAAAAGCGAAGGTGAGTCTGTTGAAAGAGTGAGACTGTGTCTATAGTAGTGTAGTATAGGACTCTCGGCTGGATGTAGGTCGGATCTGTGTCTGTTTGCGTACGAGAAGAGCTCGGGATCAGTACAGAGCTGCAGAGGACTGTGTCTATGGTAGTGTAGTATAGGACTCTCGGCTGGATGTAGGTCGGATCTGTGTCTGTTTGTGCACGAGAAGAGCTCGGGATCAGTACAGAGCTGCAGTGTAGCATATGACTAAATGTGTATCTGTTAATATATTTTTTATCTGTACAGCGGACGCGAAGAAAGCTAATCGAACGATCAACGATATAAAAGCAGATATAGAAGCTTACAAGAAGAGAAGAATTAAAATGCTCAAACGATTGGAGAGGGAAAGGAAGAAGAGAATGAAAATGTTACACAAAGGACGGTTCCAATATCTCACGTCAGTTCGTACTACAAAAACGTTCATTAAAAAATATTGGGACCTCGATTACGGCTGGTCCATAGAAGATTGGTGAATGCATAAATTGACTATCAATAAATATATGTCTATAAGTAACAATTTTTTTTTATTGCTTATATACCCATATAGACTAGGACTAGATCACAGCCCACCTGGTGTAAAGTGGTTACTGGAGCCCATAGACATCCACAACGTAAATGCGCCACCCACCTTGAGATATAAGTTCTAAGGTCTCAGTACAGTTACAACGGCTGCCCCGCCCTTCAAACCGTAACGCATTACTGCTTCACGGCAGAAATAGGCAGGGTGGTGGTACCCACCCGCGCGGACTCACTAGAGGTCCTACCACCAGTAATTACGCAAATTATAATTTTGCGAGTTTATCACACGAAATCAGGCGTATTGGCTACAATATTCCTATCTATCAATCAATCAATATCACTACTCGAGGTTGGTATTGGTAATAATGAATTATTAATATTATATCTTTCCTGGAGGAGGCTTACACCCGAGGAGGGGTCCATATCCAATAACAAAAACTAACTCTTACTAACATTTAGACAATAAGCATTAATAACTAACTAATAAATATTTTGAAATGAAAGTTAAGGGTAAGGACATACAGATTTATTTATTTATTTAAATTTATTTAAGGGATTTTATGCACTGGTAACTAAGACCTTTATTGAAGTCATGTCTTATTTTAATTACTAGAGGTCCCGCAGTTGTCGAAATTCGACTATAATTGGAATTGTAAGTTTGTACACTATTATGATTGTATTTTATACTTCTATAATCACAAATTTCGCCAAGGCTACACTATAAAAAAATATTAATAAAGACAAACAATATTTAATCCATTCTCAGTTTGACCACAGACGTCAAGAGCAAAAGTTTGACAATAAATAGTATGCAAGCGTGTGTGCGTCAAATACATGGTATGTAGTGTGTGTAATGTTTTCTTTATTGATTTAATGTATCTTTTATGCACTATTTTAAAAAAATATTAGCATTGTGCACTTCTTCTCTATATTCTCTATGAGTGTGGAAAATTTCATACTCCTCCGTCCGCGCAATTTTCGTAAAAAGGGATACAAAGTTTTTGCTTCACGTATTAATATATAGATTAATCTTATTTTATGAAAAATAGTAATATGGAGTGAAATGAAATGAAGATGATTAATTTGAGACATTAATCAACTGGGATGAAATTAAATGAAATGAGGTGAGATCATATGGGATGAAATATAATCTCAGTAAAATAGTGGTCATTTACTGAGACTTTTTCAGTGGACTTTTTGGAGGATCCCGAGAAGTTACGTCCAGCGGCTTTGTTTCATTTTCCCACATTTGTGCACTTTCACAGATATTAAACAGTTAATAAACCACCATTATTACACATTTAAACGCGAAGAAACACTAAATAGACAAAATAAAACAAATCACACAACATCTCTCCTCGCGTTCCCGCCAAAAAGTCTTATTTATTTTAATATTATATTTTTTATTAATAAAAAAAATTACGTTTAAATAGTGTACCGTAATTTAGCGTTGGGTTCGTGGCAAATAAAATAAAACTTACTCATTAGATTGTATAATAATTTTATTGTTCTGATATCACAACATCCGTATGATCGTAACAAAAAAAAAATGTGTGCGTGTACTAGTGTACACACGTAAGAAGTGAAACTTATTTATGGCCTTATTTTTCGAAAAATGATCTACATGCAACTTTCTAGAAATTGGTTAAATAAAGTTAAATTAGATAAAGTTTAAACAAAAGGATTTTATTATCATAGACATGAATACAAAAAAGTTAAATTAGATAAAGTTTAAACAAAAGGATTTTATTATCATAGACATGAATACAAAACAGATGGCGCGTAACGGAAAAATGTGACGCGTAACCGAAAAATGTGACGGTAAATTTTTTTCCAACGCCGATAAGGAAGTTTCACTTCAATTAATTGACACCTTCTGTGTGTATACATTGCTCGCCCAATCGTCCTTAGAAATAATACGCATAATATTTAAGAAACGTCTTCATACTTTGTAAAATTATAAATATGAGTGTTTTTGTTTGTTTGTCCTTCTTTCAAACGACCAAACGAAGTAACCAACTAACTAACAATATTTGGTTTAAGCGACATTTTTGCAACTTCACAGGAGAGCCATATAAAGTTAAAAATTTGGAAAAAATATCTTCACCAAAAAAAAAAACTTCATCACCTATTCGAATGAGGTAAACTTAATTGAAGTTCAATTAAAAACATCGAGCTGTTGGTGCTGATATCAAATAAAACGGACCTTTAATTACAAAGATAAATGTCACGTGTCAATCGAAATGTCACTTAAACATAAATAACCTTTCACCCCCAATTTGATTTTTAAGTGACGTGGTACGATGCCTTTTAAGCCGAAAATAAAACGTCTCAATCAAACGGGAAAACGTTAGAGAAAAATGTATTATCTTTAAAAAAATTACGTCGCATCTCTCCCTGATCACGCAGGCCAAACTGCCGGTAGAAATTAGTTATAAAATAATATAACAGTTAGTTACCTCACGAGCCTCAGCCTCATCTGAGCAATAAAAAAAAATAAAAAAGCCTTTGCTGTTTACGGAAACAGTAACGTCTCTAAAATCTTCCATTCGATTTTTATTTATCGCATATCTTTTGTTATCATGTACAATAGTTTCGAAGGTTAAGTCTTAAATAAAACACCGCGAAAACATTCTCGACAACGAGCGACATCTGTTGTCGAGTTGCCGGAACTGAATTTGATTAGAAAAATTCGTTGGCTTAATTGCAAAAGGGCATAAGTCAAACGCAAACATTTCAAAGAAATCGCTCAGAAGCTTTAGACTCCCACGCGCTCGAGGCAGTCCTTAATGCTCACGCTTTAAGATCCAAATTCTATATGTTTTATTCGCCGGTTATATCTAAAATCGGGTGCGCGTTCCTGAACATTACGTCACTGTTGACTTAAAAAATAAGCTGTCGTTATAGATAAGGACAGAAAAAAAAAAACTTGTTTCGATTTGAGTCTGCTCGGAGATAAGTTATCACACATTATCGCTGGCATTACGACTTTTATTATTAAATATTTGTAGGTGCCGTAACGCCATTGTCAAATCAAAGTCTTACTTAATACGCAGTCTGGTGGCGACCGCGGGACGTGCGTAAAATACGTCATCCACTTTATCTCTTTCCAATCACGCGTTCGTTGGCGGGTTTTTCTCAGCTATTTACTTTACTAGTGTCGAAGTGTTAAAAACTTGTTTCTTTTTGTGCTGTGCTGTGTATGTTTTTACGGATTACTTCCTCGATCCAAACCGGTAAGTTATTAGATATTTAGTTTTAATTCACATTTTTCCTTATGCCGTTTTCGCGATGCACAGACGAACCCGCGAATTAAAGTCTAGTTTTAAACTAAAGTTTTGTATTAAAAATAAAAAAATTGCGTTTCTTTAAATTATATATGGTTTATATTATCGTGTTTAAGACGAAAAGGCCTCTTGAGTGTGGAAACGAACTTTGACAATATTATCCGTCTGATTCCGTCTATTCGCAGAAATAGTGTTGCGCGTGTTCTATGAGGATCGATTTAGATAATCGATTTTCTTTTTGATTCGGCCAATACGAGTATTGCGAATAACCTCTAAGTCTTAGATAAGTCTAGTTTTTTTTTCAATGCCTAAGATAACTCTTTCGATTAAATTTAAAGATAAGGACATATTTTGGTGTAACTTTGCGGTATGCGACGGAATTTTTTTTTTTTTTTTTTTTTCCTACCTAAGCTGAGATCCTTGAGAGGCTATTTCAGCGTAACCCTAACGTTTGTAGGTGAGCTCACGGGGCTCAAACCTGATGACGTTGCTAACACGAACCCTAGCAAGAGCCGTGCTTCGCAGAATCTACCACCGGATCGGAAACGCGACCCACTGAGAAGATCCGGCGAGAAACTCAGTGGGCTGTGTCTGAGAGTTAATTTACTCGTCGAGCCNTTGTAGGTGAGCTCACGGGGCTCAAACCTGATGACGTTGCTAACACGAACCCTAGCAAGAGCCGTGCTTCGCAGAATCTACCACCGGATCGGAAACGCGACCCACTGAGAAGATCCGGCGAGAAACTCAGTGGGCTGTGTCTGAGAGTTAATTTACTCGTCGAGCCCTTCGTCGCAAGCGACGGGTTCGACGAGAACGGTGACCGGTGTTGGAATAATTGTAATTTTCATTATTGAGATGGATTGATTAGTACTGTGTTCTTTGAGGCATGAGGTCTAAATCTCAGTTGTATAGTAAAAGGCTGTTCGCGATGGAAATGGCAGGATAATGGTAGCTACTGGTGCGGACTCACGCAAACGCTACCCGCAAATGTATTTGGGTTTATTATTTTATCGATTTTTCAATCAGAACTCTTAAATATTAGTTCAAGATGAACTTACCTTACTTACCCGTAAAAGATACCGCTGAAATGAAACTATGGATTTTTTTTAAAGTTTCTGTAAAGCACGCAATGGACCACAATCTACTGACCTAGATCGATGACCTCGCTGCTGCCAGATGCGTCCGCTTTGCATTGCGTGTTTTATATTATTATATATTATGGTTATATATATCTATGATTATTATTGATGATGAGCAAATCATAGATATAATAATTTGCTTGATCTTTAATCGGTGTTAGTATATTAAGTATTTCTATAAATGCTGTATTTCCTTGTAATAAAATTATCACAAATGCTAATAACCAATTATTACTCTTTGAAAAATAGTTGTACTGAGTATATGATTTGTTGCAAAACCTAAATAGAGATGAGTATATTAGAGTATACTAAGATACAAAGTATTCGTTTTTTTTATTGCCCTTGTAGGCAGACGAGTATACAGCCTGATCTTGAGTGGTTACCGTTGTGTATTATCTATGGTTACCGTCGCCCATGGACTTTAGCAGTGCCAGGGGCAGAGCCAAAGCGCTGCCTACCGTTAAGTACTCCACGTACTTATATCTCTGCTACGTATTTAGTAAGCAAACATTAAATTCAAGTCATTTA